GGTGGTTTGAGATTGAGTCCATCCACAGCTTTGAGGAGATGGTCTGATTGGCCTAACCTAGCTCACATGTCCCTTTCACCCTGGCCTCGATGATTGGCTCAGGGACGGGCTGTCCAATCACAGGTGAGCCTCAGCACTTTTGGGAGGAATGCTGGGACCTGTACTCTACTGGGCTTGATGCTCGGAGGGCATTGATAGAGTTGGGATGTGTTGTCCCCCCAAAACTCATGTGGAGATCTGATCCCCAATGTGGCAGTACTGGAAGCTGTTTGAGTCATGGGGACGGATCCCTCATGAATGGATTAATGCTCTTCCTGGGTGGTGGGGGTAGTGAGTCAGTTCTCTCTCGATTAGTTCCCGCGAGAGAGCTGGTTGTTTAAAAGACCCTGGCACCTCTCCGCCCTGCACAGAGGATTCCTGTATGAAAAAGGCACAATGTGCCTGCCCAGCAGAAATCGATGCTGCTTCTGGACAAAGAGGCAAGTGGCTATTTCCAAAATGTGTCCACTAGTCCTTGGGTTGGTAGTGGGAGCATCTAGTTTTGGAGCTGGACAGACAGGAACACATCCAAGCCTCCACCAGTTGTGTGATTTTGGTTTAGTGACTTACAGGCTCAGAGCCTCACTTTCCTCATCTGTAAAATGGGAATGGATCTTACCTGGCAGGGTAACTGGAGACTTGTACTTTGCTGCCATGCATCTATTCCCCCTCTTTCTCCATAAGAGTACCCAAACTTTCCTTTGAGAAACTGCCCCCCTCCTCTTATAATCTGTTCGGTGGTTTGAGATTGAGTCCATCCACAGCTTTGAGGAGATGGTCTGATTGGCCTAACCTAGCTCACATGTCCCTTTCACCCTGGCCTCGATGATTGGCTCAGGGACGGGCTGTCCAATCACAGGTGAGCCTCAGCACTTTTGGGAGGAATGCTGGGACCTGTACTCTACTGGGCTTGATGCTCGGAGGGCATTGATAGAGTTGGGATGTGTTGTCCCCCCAAAACTCATGTGGAGATCTGATCCCCAATGTGGCAGTACTGGAAGCTGTTTGAGTCATGGGGACGGATCCCTCATGAATGGATTAATGCTCTTCCTGGGTGGTGGGGGTAGTGAGTCAGTTCTCTCTCGATTAGTTCCCGCGAGAGAGCTGGTTGTTTAAAAGACCCTGGCACCTCCTCTCTCTCTCTCTCTTGCTTCCTCTCGCCATGTGATCTGCTTGTACCCGACGGCTGCCTGCCACTTTCTGCCATGAGTAGAAGCAGCCTGAGGTCCATACCAGATGCAGCTGCCCCAGAATCATGAGCCAAATAAACCTCTTTTCTTTATAAATTACCCAGTCTCAGGTATTCTGTTATAGCAACCCAAAAACAGACTAATACAGGCATCAAGCTTGTGAAAACTATGGCCATTTTCGTCACCACAACTAGGATGGAAGCCAATCTACAGCAAGCAGAGCTAAGAGACGCAAGCTGCTGAAGTCACTTGAGTCCTGGGTCAAGCCATTCCCGAAGCTCCTGCTGGACTCTACTGTTAGGTGAACCAAAACTCCTTTTGTTTAAGCCACCTATAATTAAGTTTTCTGTCATTTGCAAAAGTCCTCATTGAGACATATGGATTAAATGACATAATAGGGGGCTGGCCAGTTAGCTCAGTTGGTTAGAGCACAGCCTTATAACAACAAGGTCACAGGTTTGGATCCCCAGACCTGTCAGCTGCCAAAAAAAAAAACCTCACAAATAAGTGACATTATATATATATATATAAAATTCAACAAGTATTACTTGAACAGCCACCCTGTGCCAAGCATTGTGCTAGTGTCTGGCCACCCAGATTTAAAAAACAGATAGAGCCACTGCCTTCACGGAACTCGAGCTACATGTTCATCAACTGTAACCTTCCCCCTTTGTCATCCCAAGGGCCAAGTACATGGCCTGCTAGAAGATTCTCAGTGAACATTCACTGAGTTGAATGATTTATGTGAAGCTTCCCAGGAACAGGAGCGGCAGGCTGTGTGTGTGGGCGGCCTGCTCAGGGCGAGGCTGTTTGCTCATCTGTCGCCCAGCAGCTACCACCTTTCTGCAGAGGGCGACTGCCCCATTGCCAGACCCCTAGCCAGACTGTAGGAGCTCAGGCCACTGCCACTTAGTAGGGAGATCCCCAAAAACACGTCCCCGAAGTGCAGGGTGTCTTTTCTTAAAGTTGTTAAAGTCAAGCAGCCTTCTGAGAATCTGGAAAAAAAAAAAAAGCAATAGAACCTCTCCCCAGGAAAAAGAAAGTACACACATTTTCTACTTCCGAGGGGCTCACAGGTTCCTTAAGCCGGTTACTCCTGAGCAAGAAAAGCTCTAAGGTGTGTTCTTCATCTGAGATCAGATGCATCTCTGCATTGCTGGTTCGTTGTCACCCCTGAAGTGTCCCCTTTCTCTGCAGGAAGGATATGCCTGTCTCAGTCCATTCTGGCTATATAATAGAGTACCATGATCTGGGTGGCTTGTGAACAGCAGAAATTTGCTTCTCACAGTTCTGGAGGTGGAGGCTGGAATTCCAAGATCAGGGTACCAGCCTGGCAGGGTTCCGGTGAGGCCCCTCTTCTGAGCTGCAAACTACTATCTTGATGTTGTGTCCTCATGTGGTGGAAAGAGGGCAAGAGAGCTTTCTGGGGTCTTTTATTTTTATTTATTTATTTATTTTTGGTGGCTGGCTGGTATGGGGATCTGAACCCTTGACCTTAGTGTTATGAGTACTTCTAACCAACTGAGCCAACTGGCCAGCTCTCTGGTGTCCCCTTTATAAAGCCAGTAATCCCATTCATGAGGGCTCTATCCTGATGACCTAATCACCTCCCAAAGGCCCCACCTCCTAACACCATCACATTGGGGATGAGGATTTTAACAGTCCACAACAATGCCCATGGGAGAATCTTCCGGAGGAGCCACTGGCTTCATGGCTGGTGCCTCAGCCTGGGTCCCACCTGAAAGCAGAATCTGAGGCAAGGGTGTGCAGGGAAGTGATCCCAGAGAGCAGGAGTGGGAGCCTGGGGGAGTGTAGGACGGGCATAGAGGGAAAACCAAATCAAGAGCACCTTATGGCGACGGGAGCAGGATCCTGCTGGGGCTTTCTGAGCTGTACAGAATGTGCTTTGGAACTGTCCACCCAACGGATAGAAGAGGAGAGCACTTGTCTGCTGGTGCCATTCCCCATGGGTGATTCAGGGTGGCCCCAAGTAGTGCTTCAGGATTACATGTGCACTTAGTGCAGAGCAGCTTCCAGAAGGTGAGAGAGAATGGCTGAAGCCAGGTGCTGTGGGGCACTCACCCTCACAAGGACGGCAGGAAGCAAAGGTGGTCGAGGATGTGACGCAGGCGCAGGAGGCGGGCATGCAGGTAGGTTTTCTGGGAGGTAACACGTTTCCACCAACTTTTCAACTGTTGGGAAGTACTGGGAGTATGTGGTTAAACTTCCCCACCAGATCACAGGCCATGAAGAAGCAACTTGAGACAGCCTCTTTGTGTGCACAGCCTGAAAGGCAGGGGAGAAAGCTCCTCCCCGTGCAATGACCGGACTGTGCAGAGGGCTGGCGCCCCCACCAGATCACAGGCCATGAAGAAGCAACTTGAGACAGCCTCTTTGTGTGCACAGCCGGAAAGGCAGGGGAGAAAGCTCCTCCCCGTGCAATGACCGGACTGTGCAGAGGGCTGGCGCCCGGCCCGCTCCCACAGAGGTCTGCCCCTCTCTGCCAGGGGAGCCGAATTGGAAGCACTGCAGAGGTTCACAGCAGACACTGAGCCAAACCACTGAAGCCAGCAACGAGCACTGTGGGGACTGGGAGAGAGCTTGAGCCTGCATCAAGGCTGAGTTTGCATCCCAGCCCAGAACTCCATAGCTACCTGGCCTTGGACAGATTATTCACATACAGGTTCCTTATCTCTCAAACTAGGATCCTAACCCCCAGCAACCTCCTCCCCCCATAGGGCCATGTTGATGTAAAATACCTAACACCTACGATGAGTGCTTAAATGAGAGCTAGAATTCACAAATACTCATTTCATTCGATAGGTAAGTATTTCTCAGGCACCAGGTACACAGGTTCATTTCCCCATTTACAGGAGCCCATGACATGCCCAGTTCCAAGTTCATGCGGAGTGGGTGGGAGCCAGGAAAGGAAGCCCTTTTCTAACAGTTTCCAGCTTAATGGAACCACTGAAGGGCATGTTGCACTGTAAACAACACACAACTGCACCCCACGAGGCTCCCTGAAACAGGCCAGCCCAGGGTTGGAAGGAGACAGCATGTCTGAGCTCTGCACTATCCACAGCAGGAGAGGGAAGCACGTGGACTGAAGCAACTGAGAAACCGGGGCCACCACCATTCAAGCCGACACACTTGTGACTCTCTCCTAGCCATCTGTTGTGGGCCAGACATTCGGCTCCTTGACAAGCAGACCAGACTTCCTGGTGAGTCATGCCACTTCAAATGCTGTCTGCAAACCCAGGGAAACAGCCAAAGCACTGAGGATCACGGCCCCCCAGGGTGGGCTGCCATGCCCAGCAGTCTCTGGTCCCTGGACTGGACAGCTCTCTTCTCCTCCCCACAAAGGGGAGACATCTGATCCTGGCTTCAGTGAACCTCCAGCAGAAGGCCTACTTGGGGACTTTTCCAGCTGCCCAAGCCTATGGCCTGCAAAAGCCAGGGCAGGTGAACCCAGGCTCTTTAGGGTAGGGAGGGGGAAAGGGTACCGTAGCAGGGAAGGGAAAGGGGCCATGCTAGAAACCTTCAACCAACCCACTCAGCCAGCCACCCAGCAAACCCCCCAGGTCAGCAGAAACGTGGCCCCAACACACCTTCTGAGTTGACTCCTTTGAAGAGGGGAAGACATGGGAAAGAACCACTGTCTTCACAGTGGGACCAGGTGGTGTGTCCTGCTTCAGACATTATCCGAAAATCTAGTGATGGGGAAGATGTGATGAACGTTCAGAGGTTTAAACTACACACAAACCAGTCATGGAAGTTTGAAAGATATTTATTTAAAAACAGAAAAAGACTTTGGTATTTCAAAACCTAACAATCACCAATCACTAGAAAGTTAAACACCTCCCCCAAAGCCCCAAAGTACAAAACCACAGATCTCCACAGGGTCATAAGAAAGAGCAAACTTGGGGATGACAGCATGACCTGCACCCTCCACACAGGCACTTCAGCTGCCCTGGGGGCCCAGGCCTGGCCACAGGACCGTGCAGGGTCTCCAAATGCCACTGAGGCCTCTTAGATTGAATGTCACCATCAAGACTCACTACCTAAAGTGGATGCGAAAGCCATCCAGCAGAATCTCAACAAAAATAAATTAAAAATTCATTCAAGAAAGAACACATTAAATTAGGAAAAGAACACAATTTTTCCTAGACAAGAGTCTTCAAAAGAGGGTCTATTTCCTGGGACAGAAGACAGGGGAAAGTGGAAGGAGTGAGTTCAATGTCAAGTATTTTCCATTTAGGTTCATTTTATTGAGTGGAAAGCTTACAAAAAGTCCACGGGCCCCTCCCCTCCCCACTGCCCGCGTGGCTCTCCTTCCTTCCAATGCAGACCCTCAGGTATCCACACATGCTTCCGCGTGGCTGGTTTCCCCCAACAAGGCACAAAGGGTGGGTGCTTCCGAAGGATCCCTCATTCGTAGCAGCGGGACATTCAGCACTGGGTGTCTTGTGCAAACCATGGCTGAAAGCAGGACTGTTGGTTCACTCAGACACTGGGATCTTCCTGTTCAATTCACAAAACAAGTGATTACTGTTCACTGCCAACTCCTGTGGCCAGCTAGACACGTCAAGGGAAGCTGGCTATGGAGACAAAGCCAGTGGCACCCACTCAGGCTCTGACCCAGCCCTGCAAATAGCTGCTGGCCCAGGATCATGCTGTGCTACCATGAACTTGGGAGTCTATGGGCTCCTGGGACTGATGTGGAGGGTTCACTGAGCTCTGCTCTGGCATGGCCCAGCTTGAGCTCCAGTAAATGAGTGACATGGGTCAGTAACCCATAAAGGTGGTTTGGCCTGTGTCCCCGACTGTGTGGGGAACCAAGTGTGCATGCCATAGCAAGAGCAGAGAAGCCACCAAGGTGCGGGGGAAAGCAACCCCCCCTGTCAACAGAGACAGCAAAACCCACGCAATGCAAATTTAGCACCCGTTCCATCACAGCAGTCGAGAGGGCTAACTGGGGGAGGCTTCTGCACATTTCTTTCTGATCTGACTTTCAATTTGTTCTTCAAGCTCCAGGAACTCAGACCTGCCTGCCACCCCTCTCCCGCTCCTTTGGGTCATGTACTGTTTCCTTTTCCAAGTCCTGGCCTTGGGCCAGAAAGTAGAAACCAGAAGCCACAAAGCTTCTCTGCGGATGTGATGGGACCTTTCTCCTGAGTGGGATCCAGGGTCTTTGACTAGCTGGGATCACAGAGCCAGAGCCTGAGGCTAATGTCCCTCTCTATTGTCACTACAGTTTGACAAGGGACATAAGAGAAGAGAAGAGAAGGCAGGGGGAGAGAAGGGGAGGAATGGGTAGGGGTGGAGGGATGAGGGAGGACAGGTGGGGAAGGAGAGAGAAGGGGAAAAGCTCAGCTCCTTCTGAAGCACTTTCTTCTATGACTGCTGACAAGGGACTCCCTTTTCATCTCCTCCTGAGAAATCCCGTCAGAGAGAAAGCTCAGAAGGCTGGCTAGCAGGACAGAGCAGGCAGCTTCGTCCCGCAACACCAGCACTGACCACCAAGATACAACCCAGATGACAGTCCCATAGCAAGTGGGGACAAAATCACAGCTTCCTGGGGGCGAAGATGTTTCAGGAAACAGGAGGGGAATGATACTGTCCTGGTGTCCTGGGCTGACAAGATGACCACCTCAGACTGAGGCCTAAAGGGAGGGAGTGACCTCTGAACACAATAAACAGGCCCTCACGGGGAGGCTGGGGGTCCCACCCGCAGTTCAGATAGAGGCTTCCAGTCCTTCTAGGGGTCTGCTGCGGTTATTTGTAAATGCTGAGATTTACGGAGGTGCTGTCTGGGGAAGCTGTGGACTCATCTATGCACACAGCCTTCCCTTCCTTGTGCTCCCCCCTTGGAGGTCACTTCCTGACATCCTCTCCACACACACTTGCTCCCCTCTCTCTGGTGTTGAGAGCTGAGGGCATCGGCTTGGACGGCCACCCTACCCCTCCAGGCCTTGCTACTCTCGCCGGGCCAGCCCCATCCTAGAGCCAGGACTGAGAGCAAGGCCGCAGGCCCATACCTTACTCCTGAAGAGGGGCTTGGCTCCGGGCCCACAGTACTCGTTGTAGATGAGCTTGAAGAGGAAGAGGTGGAAGAGGGTGATGAGGGAGGCCACACTGAACCAGAAGAGGAAAGGCAGCCCGGGGTCTTGCTGGGCCATGTGCTCATCGTGGGCCAGGATGGCCTTGAGGTGCAGCGTGTGCCGCAGGTCCTGCAGGTGCATAAGGTCGGTGGAGATGTACAGCAGCGGTGTGATGGGCTGCGTCACCATGACCGAGAAGGTGTGGCCCTCGGGCGCCGAGGTCAGCTCCACGGGTTCATCCATGCAGCCCGCCTCGCAGGCGTAGATCTTGACAGGCTGGCCGCGGGACTCCATGGACACATGCAGGTAGGGCTTGCCTTCAGCATCCGCAAGCACGGCCAGGTTGATGTGGTCGTTCTTGTAGCGGATGCCGTGCAGCGCATAGCTGTTGTGCAGTACATCGGGGTCAGCCTGGAACTGGAGGTGGTTCTCTGTGAACTGCAAACCCCCGAAGCTAAGCACCATGCCCTGCAAGATGCCTGGAGCACCCACCTTCACCAGCCCCTTGCAGCCACGCTTCTGGAGGGTCAGCTTCCACAGGTCAGAGAGCTGCAGGATCTGCTGGACGGAGGACAGCTGCCCCGGCCAGAGATTCTCAGCGTGCATGGTGGCATGGCCACTGAAGCAGTGATCTTCGTAGTTGAGAGTTGACTCCATCTGGTCTCGCTCCCTGTGGCTCAGGGAAGGGCTGAGCAGTGGGGCTGGTGAGCAGGAGAGCATGTAGTACAGCGTCAAGTTCACAGTCAGGCCAGATGGTGTGTGGGCATCCGTGATCTTCTTCATTTCCACTCCTGTAACACCACAAAGGTTGGAGGTAAAGAGGGAAGGCACAGCCAGGAGGCAAGGTCGTGAAACAAAGATTAAGAGCAGCAGAGGAGTGAAATTTTAGGCCCTCAGGATGAAGACAGCGGTTCCAGTGTCCTTCAAGTATGGGAAAAAGTCATGCCTGCCTTATTTATGTAACCAACTTGAGCCTGTGGGCCTGAAACCTAAAGTCCCATTAAAAGGCAGTGGGGTGGGCTGGCTGATTAGCTCAGTTGGTTTGAGCGTGGTGCTGATAACACCAAGGTCAAGGGTTCGATCCCTATACCAGCCAGTC